TTATAGCAAATGTAAAGAGGAAAAGATAGGAAACCATATAAGTGCTATGAATGAAGCTATGTAAGAAAAAAGTAAAAGGAGAACCAATTCCCATTTACTGAGTACTTAAATTTACCCCATCCCAGGAGCTGTGCCTGGATATAATTTTAAAATACATCTTCCTAATCTTTCACAAGTACCCTATGAGGGAAATGCTGTTTTTTTTTTCTTTCAGTTAAATGAGGAAATAGAAACGTAGAGCTGAATATTACAAAGGTAGAAGGTAATTAAGCCAAGTCTTCATGATCCCAAATATCATATTATTAGCAATTTTGTTTTATTGCATCCCATATGTAAACCCAAAGGAAAAGACTGTAGAGAAGCTATCGAAGTGAGTATTATCCTAAAATGGTGATCTTATGGGCAATTACTTAATTTCCTAGCTTCTAATATATTTTATAGTGTTTATATGAGTATATTTTAAACTTATTATATTCTACCATTTGAAATGGATGATGTTTTTATTCATATATCAGTTTAATCATCTGTCATTTATGTAGATATGGATCATTTACTCTAAGATGATCAAGGGCATGTTTCCCCAATATGAAGTTGTTCATATTGATTTGATTGGTTATTGATTTGAGATTTTTTTTAGTAGAGGCATTTACAACTATAAATTTGCCTCTAAGCACTGCTTTTGCTAAATCCCACAAATTTTGGTATGTTGTATTTTCATTTACTTTTGTCTCAGGCTATTTTCTAATACCCTTGTGATTTTTTTCTTTGACTAATTGGTTATCCAGGAGTATGTTAAGTTCCAAAACTTGGGAATGTCTCAAACTTCCTTCTGCTATTGACTTTTAACTTAATTCCATTATAGTCCAAGAACATACTTTACATTATTTCAATCATGTTAAATTTATTGAGACTTGCTTTATTGCCTAACATATGGCCTGTCCTGGACAATGTGCCATGTGCACTTGAGAACGTGTACTCCGCTGTTGTTGGATAGTTGATCAAGTCTTCTATTTTGGCTATAGACTGAATGTTTATTCCCCCACCCCAAAATTCATATCTTGAAACCTAACCCCCAATGTGATGGTACTTGGAGTTGGGGCCTTCAGGAGTTGTTTAGGTCATGAGATGCCTTTATAAATGAGACCCCAGAGAGCTCCTTTGCCCCTTCCAGCATGTGAGGAAACAATGAGAAGGTGGCCATCTATGAACTAGGAAGCAGGTTCTCACCAGATACTGAATCTTCCAAAGCCTTGATCTTGGACTTCCCAGCCTCTTGAACTGTGAGAAATAAATTTCTATTCTTTATAAGGCACCCAGGAAATGGTATTCTCTTATAGCATCCCAAACGGACTAAGAAAATGTCATTGATGATCTTCTGTGTAGTTGTTCTATCCATTGTTGAAAGTGGGATATTGAAGCCTCCTGCTATTATTTTTGAACTATCTGTTTCTCCCTGGAAGGAGATGCTGCTCAATCTTACATGTCTAAAGTACTTGTAATAGTTATAATCTGGACTTTGAGCCTTGGGTCTTGTGGTTTTTACAGTGTTTGGCACTGTGGACTTATTCACTCAGTCTTCAAACAGTGAACAGTCTGTTGAATCAAATCATTGAACAATACATGGTAAAGATAGGTGACAAAGTAGTGGCCCAAGAAGGGGTAAATAAATCCAACCAGTGGAGGGCTAAATGATGTCTGGTCTAGGGTATGTATTGCTTATGAGCCCACTGAATCAATCAATGTTAAGAAATCCTCTCCCTTCTGACCACAAACCATGACCATGGAAGTCTTAAACTCTGACTTATTTGCTGGAAAAGAATTGATGATTCAAAGTCAAACCAGCTTAAAACTTCTCCTACAAGAAATAAAAATAATTCCTTGGCTTAAAACAATGCTGTACTCATTTTGCATTCAGATCAATTACCCTGACAATTTAGGTTTTCATATTCCTGTAGAATAAGAACAAATTGGCCTCTCTAAGAGTTTTTACATTATTAGAATCTGTTCAGGAGAAAAGAATCATTAAATTCCTCTGAGAAAGTCTAGTAATAAAAAATTGTTCTGGTAACTCTGGTACATTTTCAATATTTCATTGAGTTGATATTATTCCCTATTACTGTAACCATAGATCCAAGGCTATGAAATCAACCTCACCACTTGGTAACACTACAAGATCATCTTGGAGCTAATTTTAAAACAGCATTCCTTAGAATCTTTAAAACCAGGTTTTTCTGATACTAGAACTGGAGTTAAATTTAGGTCAACATGGATTTCATAAAAGCAAAACCCTTTAAAGTTTGCATTAAAAATTCAATATGTCTAACTGAACAGCCTTGGTTGGGTGATGATAATAAATATTACAAAAAGTTAATTTCCCTTCTCCAGGCTTTCTCAGAAGAAAGTTCTGTAGCTTCACCTCAAGCATATTGGAATATTTCAGTTCAGCTTGACAACAAGCAGGATACTCAGTCATCAATTGATTGAATTTTGTCATAAATAAATACAAGTGTGTGTAGCTAAGCTTCAGGTCAGTTCCTACTGATGTCACTTTGTCCTTGTCCTGGGGTTAATTCCATGGTTATAAAATCCAGTTTTTTATTCTTACCCTTTATTCTTTTATGCAACTCTGTTGAAAATACTAGCTACTGTTTTCTTATTTTAAGTCAAAATGGCTCCTCTCTTTCTCTACACTGTAAAGAAATCCTTTTAGTAGAACTAACTTTCAATAGCCTAATAAGTCTGTGTAAGCATGGCACAGATAACATTGCCATTATTTATGGGGTTGTCCCACAGAACATTCTGTTCTTCATTATGTCTACAGGAGAAGATATATAATAGGGCCCCATTGCTATTCTGGCTTTCACCATCCACATGGTCAGAATATATCACCCTAACACCCACAGGGAGTGTGCAGTCCTGTAAGGTTCAGTGGGAGGAAGGGGGTAAGCAGTATAACAAGTAGGTGACAGCACCAACTTTGAAACCAGACCCCCTTTTTAGGATGCATGAGAGATGGTGAAAATCAGTCTATAAGACTCATCTCAAGAATGGGAGCAATAACTGGGTATCATGAAGCTTAACAAACAATGGATATAATGCTCTTCGTATAGTATCTGGCATATGGTAAATGATTAATAAATATTTCTATTGTTCAGCACATAGCAGATGATCAGTAAATTTTGGTTGGATGAGTGAATAGATAAACAAACAAATGAATGAATGGATAATCAGCCAGATAAATACCTGTTTTATGTTCCCAGTATATATTCCTCTCCTCTAAACTTAAACTTCTGCTTAAAAATACAATAGGTTGTACATGGTGGGATCCAATAATGTTGGATAAAGTAGATTTGCTGTCATTGTCTCAGGAGAAAGAGCAACCAGTGGTCGGCAAACTGCGGCTTGCGAGCCACATGCGGTTCTTTGGCCCCTTGAGTGTGGCTCTTCCACAAAATACCAACTTCTGCGCATGGGCCACGAAGTTTCAATCGCACTGTATGTGCGCGCCCGCACGTAGTATTTTCTGGAAGAGCCACACTCAAGGGGCCAAAGAGCCGCATGTGGCTCACGAGCCGCAGTTTGCCGACCAGTGACCTGGGCCAATTCCACACGACCCCTGCTGGCAGAATTCCCAAACCAGTCTGCAGGTATCAGGTCTGCAGATAGAGGGCAAGGCTGAATCCTCAGTAAGGGATCATTACTGACCGGATCCAGATAAAATGAAATAAGTGGCAAGCCCTGCTTGCAGTGCCTCATTGGGCAGCAAATATAGTTTTGAGTTTACCCTTACCTTGTCCACGTCCAGAATCATTACCAGGTCCTCTTGGTCTGCCTTATACACATAAGGGTTACTGGTTTCAAGGCCCAAATGCCTGGTCTCTACACTCTACATTTCTAAACCTCCTCAGCTCCTTGCTCCTCTGATCCTCTACTCAAAAATAGCTCATTTGCTTTTAGTGGCATCTAGGTGAGGAAACTGAGACATGAAATAAGGGAGGGCTCCCAGGGCCCCAAGATCAAAAGCTCTTCAATACTTCCTCCCAAGCATCTTTCTTCTCCCAACTCTATCTTTCCCCAACTAAGAAGGTGACCAGAGGGGAGGTGGCAGGCAAACATCCTCAATGGTTCTCTGACTGGTTACAGAGTAAGACAGGCCCAAAAGCTCAGCTTTACATGCCAGAAAACCTTTGCAGCTGAAACCGGTTTGGCTCAGTGGATAAAGCATCGGCCTGCGGACTGAAAGGTCCCAGGTTCGATTCCGGTCAAGGGCATGTGCCTTGGTTGCGGGCACATCCCCAGTAGGAGATGTGCAGGAGGCAGCTGATCGATGTTTCTCTCTCATCGATGTTTCTAACTCTCTATCTATCTCCCTTCCTCTCTGTAAAAAATCAATAAAATATATTAAAAAAAAAAAAAAAAAAAAAACCTTTGCACCAGAAATACTGGTCTCAATTGGAGGCCCTGATACTTAGATTCTTCTGGAATTCCGGACTCCTTCTGTGGAAGGTTTCTTTAAACCAGTGGTTCTCAACCTTCTGGCCCTTTAAATACAGTTCCTCATGTTGTGACCCAACCATAAAATTATTTTCATTGCTACTTCATAACTGTAATGTTGCTACTGTTATGAATTGTAATGTAAATAGCTGATATGCAGGATGGTCTTGGGCGACCCCTGTGAAAGGATCGTTCGACGGCCAAAGGGGTTGTGACCCACAGGTTGAGTCTAAACCAGCCGTGGGCAAACTACGGCCCGCGGGCCGGATCCAGCCTGTTTGAAATGAATAAAACTAAAAAAAAAAAAAGACCATACCCTTTTATGTAATGATGTTTACTTTGAATTTATATTAGTTCACACACACACTCCATCCATGCTTTTGTTCCGGCCCTCTGGTCCAGTTTAAGAACCCATTGTGGCCCTCGAGTCAAAAAGTTTGCCCACCCCTGGTCTAAACCATTGTATAGTGATCTTTTTTAGACAAAGGAAATAGTTTTTCACTTACCTTTTTCTTCCAACTACTGTTCAGCTTTGGGAACATATTTCAGTTCACTTTTAATATTCTGGATCTCCGATAGGTTGACTGCAGGTCCTGGAAGTTTCTTCGCTCCTGGAATTGGCTTCTTTTCCTCATCCGAGGTGGGAGGAGCACTCTGAAGAGGAAGAAAAGCAAGGAATGAGATTCAGCTTACTAAAAAAATACATTTGGTCTCTCTGGAATGAAAAAAATTAAAGCAAGAATAATGTCAGAGTGTAATTCTAGCAGAGTGACTTTTTCTTGTGCTGCTGAGACATCCTCAAAGTTTCAAGAAGATGATCTGAAGTTTGTAGAGGAATGTGGAATAAAGTTAGAAGAAGAAAACAAGTAATTTCCATGTGACTCAGAAAAACTAGAGTACTGTTTAGTGTCTTATTACTAATAAGAATGACCACTAGTTGGAAGTACTCATCTTTCCAAGGCAAGCATCTTACAAGATCAAATTCAATTTGGTATCATCTATCCTATCTAATAAAAGAGAAACATGGTAATTGGCGTACGACCGCTACCCTTCCCATTGGCTAATCAGCGAGATATGCAAATTAACTGCCAGCCAAGATGGCGGCTGGCAGCCAGGCAGCTTGAAACTAACATGAGGCTTGCTTGCTTCAGTGACGGAGGACTCCAACGTTCCCCGCCTGCCACTGCAGGCCTCTGAGCTGCAACTCTAAGCAACTATGTTACAAATATAGAAGCTAAACAAAACCCCAGAAACCTGCTTTAGTCCGCCGGCTTCAGCCAGCAGGATCGCAACATTGTAAGCAAAGGCCAGAAACCTACTTTCAGCAGCGGAGGCCTAAGAGCTGGAGCCAAGCCTCAAAGCTAAAGCTGGCCCAGAATTTAAAAAAAGAAAAAGAAAAAAAGGAGCGGTTGGGAGCTTCAGTCACCCCCAGCCTGAAAACAGCCCTCAGCCCCTCACCCAGACTGGCCAGGCACCCCAGTGGGGACCCCCACCCTGAAGGGTGTGTGACCAGCTGCAAACAGCCATCATCCCCTCACCCAGGCTGGCCAGGCACCCCAGTGGGGACTCCAACCCTGAAGGATGTGTGACCAGCTGCAAACAGCCATCATCCCCTCACCCAGGCTGGCCAGGCACCCCAGTGGGGACCCCCACCCTGATACAGGACACCCTTCAGGGCAAACCAGCCAGCTCCACCCATGCACCAGGCCTCTACCCTATATAGTAAAAGAGTTATATGCCTCCCAGCACCAGGATCAGCGGAGCTGCGAGGCGTCCCGGCACCGGGATCAGCGTGACAGGGGGCAGCGCCCAAACCCCCTGATCGCCCTGTGGCTCTGTGTGTGACAGAGGGTGGGGCCACAACCTCCCTATCCACCCTGCTCTGTTCGTGACAGGGGAAGGCGCCCCAAACCCCTGAGCAGCCCTGCTCTGTGCCTGATACAGGGGAGCTCCCCAACCCCCTGATCACCCTGCGGCTCTGTTTGTGACAGGGTGCGGTGCCCCAAACCCCCCCCCCCCACCATGGGCCCTGCTCTGTGTGTGACAGGGTAGAGCCATAACCTCCCCATCGGCCCTGCCCTGAGTGTGAGAGTGGCGGCACCCCAACCCCCTGATCGGCCCTGCTCTGTGGGTGATAGAGGGCAATGCCCCAACCCCCTGATGGGCCCTGCTCTGTGAGTGACAGGGGGCAGTGCTCCAATCCCCTGATTGGCCCTGCTCTGTGCGTGACGGGGTGGTGCCGCAACCTCCCCATTGACCCTGCCTTGAGTGTGACAGGGGACGGTGCCCCAACCCCCCAATCGGCCCTACCTTGAGCGTGACTGAGGGTGGCATCACAACCTCCCAATCGCCCTGCTCTGTACATGACAGGGGGCGGCGCCCCAACTCCCCAATCGGCCCTGCTCTGAGCCCGACCAGGGGCTGCACCTAGGGATTGGGCCTGCCCTCTGCCACCCGGGAGCAGGCCTAAGCCAGCAGGTCATTATCTCCCGAGGGGTCCCAGACTGCGAGAGGGCACAGGCCGGGCTGAGGGACCTCCCCTCCCCCCCGAGTGCACAAATTTTTGTGCACCGGGCCTCTAGTATATATATAAAAGCCTAAGCAACTGGCCAACCGGCCAGTAGCTATGACATGTAAAGACCACCAGGAGGGGCAGATACTCCTACCAGTAGCTATGATGCACACTCTCCACCAGGGGGCAGACATTCAACACAGGAGCTGCCCAGCTGTGGTGACTTGGCAGCTGAAGTTCTCAGGTGATGCAACCAGAACCAGAGAGGAGGTAGCCCAATTCTGGGATGCGTCACCCGAGAACTGCCCTCTTGCAATCTGGGACCCCTTGGGAGATGTCGGAGAGCTGGTTTTGGCCCGATCCCCTCAGGCCAGGCTGAGGGACCCCACTGGTGCACGAATCCGTGCACCGGGCCTCTAGTGTGATCATAATATGCCTAAATAGCAGAGATTTGCAGAATGTTAGTGCACAGCTGGCTCTAGCAATGACTTAGTCTAGGAATTTTCAAAATGTTTTGTTTGGGGTACAGTGGCTGCCAGCCTTTGTTCCAGTGAATCTCTGCAAAGTGTAAACAAACTCAAATTGATATAAGTAAAACTTCTTTGAATATGAGTTGGCTAAAGTAAAGCAAAAGAGGAGGCCCAGCTCTCCCTTCCTGCTTTGTAAAGTATTTTAAATTCCCTACCATATTATGTTTTTATTTTGTTGCAGCTGCAGGGCAGGACCACATTCTATACTTTCTTATGGGTCCTCCAACACTTGGTACAGAAGTGCATAAGCATACTTGTTGATTGTTATTTAGCTGATTAACCCTGAAAATATGCCACAGTGGCAAATCTATGCCTGTATGTATATACACCAAACACACATATTAACAGTGACATAAAACAATAAATCAGTTGCTGTGTGTGGCTCCTAGAACTCCAACTCATTACTACAGAAGAAAGTTGCTTGTTAGCTCATTCCTCTAATTTGCTACAGGTCAGGGGCATATTCTCTGCAGCCCTTGAAGGAAGGTGTTGGAGGAACATTTGATCACCGTGGCAGCCAGGAGAACAGGCCTCGGATCAGTTTCCTGCTGGGAGGGTAATTGAATGATTGCCCCAGCTGCTTTGTCCTGAAACACGCCCATCACCACACTGAGGTCATGCTTCCCACGGCTGCTCTTGGCCAATGACTGAGTGCCACAGGATCCTAAAGTGGCTGTTTCTGGGAGACCTCACACTCCTCTGGAAGGGCCTCCGGCTCAAGAAATCTCCTTAGAACAGCACTGAGGTCTAAGATGCTTCTGCCAAACCTTCTGTCCCACTATCCTTCACCTGCATCGCTGTCTGACAACCCTCCCATTTTCCTTACAAGCGTTTTCCCCAGTAAGTATTTTGCCCGTCTAATCCCATCTTTGGGTCTGCTTCCTGGAGGGCCCAAACCAACAATCCCATTGTGAGACTGGCAGAGCTCCATCTGTTCACCCAACAACTGAGTGAACCAATCCAGTTCCAGGGAAAAGTAATAAGAATCCTCAAGTTTGTTGCCAGCCTAACTAGGCATCCCTGAAACTTGAGTATTAAAGTTGATGCTGTTCCTCCCTTCTGGCTCCTACATCTAGTTCTCAAATTGTCTAGACCGGTGGTCGGCAAACTGCGGCTCGCAAGCCACATGCGGCTCTTTGGCCCCTTGAGTGTGGCTCTTCCTAAGCCTTAAGAGTACCCTAATTAAGTTAATAACAATGTACCTACCTATATAGTTTAAGTTTAAAAAATTTGGCTCTCAAAAGAAATTTCAATCGTACTGTTGATATTTGGCTCTGTTGACTAATGCGTTTGCCGACCACTAGTCTAGACCCTAAAGGGAAAGGGAAGAAAGTGTTCAACCTTCCTAAACTCGAACCAATTACTTGGTTGGCATGTCCTTTATAAAACGTTTTTAAATTGTTTGAGTGGATGAGTATAAATCTAAAATATCGAGGTGCTGTTCCATCTGGTAAGCGCTAATTGCTTTTCCTAGAGTCATTTCCTTTGACTCGGGCACAGTGCTAATGAACTAGCTAACATGTCAGCCACATAAGTTGATAAAGTAATTCAGTGTAGACTGGCTGTTGTAAATATCTGGAAAATATTGTTTCCCCAGATCAGTGTACAGAGCCATAGGATAGGCTTCCTTGTGTGCGCATACATTCATCATTTATAAATGCAGGTTTAGAAGCAATAATGAGCATTGCTAAGCCTCCATTTGGAGGACCAGGTATTCCAAAATGTTCTTTGTTAGGCTTTTGGAAAGAAATTTTAAACAAGGCTATAAAGTGTTGGGAGTTTTTTAAATATCTGTAGCAGTGAAATAAAAATGTTTCCTTACTTGTAAATGTTCCCATGATTGTTAGGTGGGTAGATCTTAATAAAGAAGCATGAAGAAGAAAAATGTTTCTAATTCCTTCTGTTAAGTTCACAGGGAAGTCGCATTCACTGTCTTTGTAATATCAAAATGCGCTGTATTGACACCCAAAGCCAATGTATGTAGTTATGTGTCTCTGTACACATTTATTATTATGATATACACAGAGATAGAATGGTAATTTTAATAGTAGTCACTTTCCTCTCAAGTTATTAAAACCTCAGTGCACTGTGCTTTTTATTTATCAAGGTAAGACTTTTAGTACTTGATTTGGTAAGGTCATGTGTAATGGAAAATTATAAGTGGATATATTTAATAAGTAGATATGATATTAACTCAGGAATGGGGTTAGTGATGGTGCATATTCTTAACTGAATCTTCTTTCATCTTTCAAAAATAATTGACAATCTGAATTTGTTAAGAATTATAATAAATTAAGGCATGAACAAACAGGGTTCCTATTGGCTCTGTTTGACTAATAAGTACATTTTTTTGTAAGTAGATATTTGAATTGAGAAGGGATATGGAAGACATTGTTTGATTTAGATAAAAATACCTAGAGAGAAGGCTTATCAGCCAGCTCCAGACCATTTCCAGTTTCAGGAATGGCTGTTATCAGGGGAGATATTCCCTTTGGGAGTGATGGAATATTTGTAAAATTTAGCACAGTGGTGAACCATTTTCCAGCTATCTGGCCTTGGAGACCACATGTCCTATTGGGTTTTCCCCTAAACTCTCCTATGTGTTCCTTCATGCTCAAACACTGAAGACTTAATAATAACAGCAAACAGTTACACTGCCGGCTATTCTAAGCTACACATACTAACTCATTTAATCTTCACATCAACCTATAAATATGGTACTATTATTATCCATATTTTACAGTTGCGGAAACTGAGGTACAGTGGTCACACAGCTAGGATGTGGTGGGACCAGAATCAAATAGTGTGTTTTCATCTTGTAAAGGAACCAGATGGAGAGGGAAATAATTAACAGAAAATCCCAGCATGCTAATTTGTGGCTTAAAAATCATGGGATTTCAGTCAAAAGAGATATGGGAGGCAGAGTAGGGGTTTTTCCATACCTTTCAAATCACTTCAAACAAGAAGCTGCCTTGTCTTATGCAAAAGAGAAGGCATACTGTGTCACAAAAAGTGGCTGGGGCCTCAAGCAAGACCACAAAATTCTGCTAAACTCACCTTATAACCAAGCCAAGATGCCTAACTGCTCCCCTTACAGTGTTGTTTCCATGAGAAACTTACTCTAAGATCCAGCCCAGAACTTGAGCCGTTAGATCCCACCCTTCCCTAAGACCCCACAAGTCCTGAGAAATCATTTTTGTTCTTACAATAAGGCAGTACAACCCCTAATTCTACCCTCCTGATCGATGAGCCCCAGGGGAAAGGTGTTGCTCAGTTCAAGAAGCACTTCTGGGACCTCTGTGGATACCTCAGTCTTCTCCATCCTGCGAAAAATACATGTATTGGTTGTCCATTTGCATATGTGGCTGGTCATAAAGTATTCACCAACCAGGTTGTATCAGTTCTTGGCTATTTTAGAATGTGCTGGAACTATCAGATTGGGGACAAGGCAGGAGTGAGAAGTATGTCACAGTGTTTCCCCAACCTTCTAACTGGGACACATGAAGGAGAGGGCCATCTATACCACAGAGGGAAACTGCAATATAAGCCTCCAAAGTAACTGTCACATCAGTCAATTTAGTGAGAAAAGAGGGTCAAGCTATCTTCCAACTGGTTGCCATGGTAGTGACAGACACAGCTTTAAAGGAAGCACAGGAAGGAAATCTAATTACAGGTAAATGGAGGTGTAGGAAGAATTCCACTGCCCACCCTTCTTCCTCCCCATGCCTTTTTCTTACAACATGCAAAATAATAGACCCAGGAGTCCTTCATGAACATTAGATACACAGATCAATTGAACAATTCTTTATTGAATACCTGCTAGGCTATGCCATGTCTGTTATATTGCCAACTCTTTCCTCACAGTGACCCTATGAGGAATGGAGTGGATCTTATTTTGCCGTCATAGACTCAGAAATACATGACCAAAATCCCAGAGAGAGAGCTCATGCATCAGAACTAGAGATTATGTACCATAGAAAAGGTCCGGCCCTGACCGGTTTGGCTCAGTGGATAGAGCGTCGGCCTGCGGACTGAAGGGTGCCAGGTTTGATTCTCGTCAGGGGCATGTACCTTGGTTGCGGGCACATCCCCAGTGGGGAGTGTGCAGGAGGCAGCTGATCGATGTTTCTCTCATCGATGTTTCTAACTCTCTATCCCTCTCCTTTCCTCTCTGTAAAAAACCAATAAAATATTTTTAAAAAACTTTAAAAAAAAGAAAAGGAAAGGTCAGGTTGAGTCCTTTCAACTTGTATGTTTAAAATTTTTACTCATAAAAGGTGACTTAATGGCTGAAATTAAAGAACTCGGTGATATCACTCAAATACTTCATCTCCTCCTTTCAAAAATTATCTATTGATTAGAGGCTGGAACCGCTAATTCGGACCATGTCAGGAATTATTTATGGGGTGGAAGATTAGAAAAGGGACAACCAGCTTTATTAGGAAACTTTGAAATGATGATAAGTGTTCTTTTGGGGCAATTACCAAAAATGTCTTCTACAAAAGTTAAAACAGCCTTTTCACCTTTTTAAAAAGATAAAATACAGTTTTATATGCCATACAACTTTACTTAATTACATTTCCCTTGTCTTGTGCTAATGACATGCTCCAAAACCTTAATAATTTTTTTCAGAACCAGACCTTCAGCACAATTGGGGATGAAATATCAACACTTGGGGAAGGAAATTTCTGTATTTATTGTACTCATTAATTTTAGCCTCCATTTAGAAGATAAGGTATTTGAATTTGGAGGAGAGGTAAAGAATTAGAGGGAGGAAAAAATACAGAAATTTATAGACCCATGCAAAGTCTTGTCAAAGTAAATACCCAGAAATTGAAGCTTTTTGTTTGAATCCACAAGAAATTTAATGTGCTTATTACCTGTGCTCCCACTGGGGTTCATCACTCATCAGCATCTGTACTAAATGCATCCTGCTTAGTTCAGTAAAAGCTCAGAATGAGTACTTACCAAGCTTGTGATTGTTGTGGACCAAGAGCATCTGAGAGGCAATGCTCCCCCTCCCCCCACACATACACAAACAAGCATACATAATCAATCAACAGACTTCATGTTAAACTCATCATCTTCAAGTAACTGTGCCAAGCACTTAAATTCAGCTTAAGGGAAGCAAGGGCCAGTGTGTTTCATGGCTGATTGAGCAAGACATCAAAGGAACGTATATACTTTGTGATGACTCATTGACCTACTTCCCTTCGTGCCCTCCATTGCCCTAGAGAACCAGCCCCCAACGTGCCTCTGCCCCATGCTAGTCAGGATTTTGGAGGAGAAAGACAAGTTTTCCTCACCTCCTCTGTTTCTGGAGAACTTTCTTTTCTTCTAGGGGGTTGCCCAGCTCCTGGCCGAAAGGCTCCCATTGGAATATTGATATTTGCCTGAAAGAGAAAATAGGGAAGATTTAGTTCCAGGAAAGTAAGAAATTGTAATGATACTCTGAAACAGTAATTGTTGTGAAAAAAATGCATCTGAAAGTACATCTTTAAAGCTTTTTACTTCAAGAAAATTGTGGTAATGACAGTACAGAAATATGCAAAGGCAAATCTGACTTTTATTTATCACAACTTTTTTATTCATCCTTAGATCAAATTCAGTGGAAGAATTTGAAGACAGTTCGTTCTGGCTGTTGCCCTCCTGTGGTGCTTAATATTTTTCTCTCTCTGGGATAAGGAAGGAGCACATAATGATAGGAAAGGAGGAAACAACATCCACAGAAGCCATCCCACACCTTAGCCCTCCTTCAGTTTCCTTCAGATTTAACATGGTAGGGGGGTAATCACACCTCTTAAACTGCCTTCTCTTTTCCATAATATCCTAGGGCTGTTCCAGCACTTTTTAAAAATATATTTTTTATTGATTTCAGAGAGGGAGAGGGAGAGGGAGAGAGATAGAAACATCAATGATGTGAGAGAATCAGTGATTGGCTGCCTTCTGCACGCACTGTGCACTGGAGATTGAGCCCACAACCCAGGCCTGTGCCCCGACTGGGAATCAAACCATTACTTCCTGCTTCATAGGTCGATGCTCAACCACTGAGCCACACTGGCTGGGCCCAGCACTTTTTTAAGTTTCTATAATTGACACTTTTTTACCTTCTTCCCAACACACCATTGTGTAAACATGCTGGAAAGTCAAATTTATTGGATCACAGTCCATAGATTCTTGTCCTTCATTAAAATAACATACTAATCTCCATCTGCAGTTAACAAAAAATACATTTTAGTAAACACGGATTATGCTAAACATTATGCTAGGAATATACTGACAAAGTAATTTGAACTTGGTGAAGAGAATATGTAAATTTGAATTTTGTCCCTCTTTCATCTGATATCAAAAGGCAAGAATGTATAACACAAACCACTTCAACCAGGACTATCATTCACATAAAAGAAGCGTTAAAGCTTTTCTGAAGGTAGAACATATTTTTTCCACTTAAGATAAAGCACTTGTTGCCTTTTGAGGGCAAGATGCACCTCTTTTAATATTTCTGAAATCAAAATGTGTCTATGCAGCAATGGTATCTTAAAATTTTAATTGACACGTTGTTTTATTTCTTTTCTTTTTTTTTTATTGATTTTTTACAGAGAGGAAGGGAGAGAGATAGAGAGCTAGAAACATTGGTGGGAGAGAAACATCGATCAGCTGCCTCCTGCACATCTCCCACTGGGGATGTGCCCGCAACCCAGGCACATGCCCCTGACCAGAATCGAACCCGGGACCCCTCAGTCCGCAGGCCGACGCTCCATCCACTGAGCCAAACCAGCCTCGGCTTATTTCTTAGCAAGACATAAAATAATAGTATTTTATAATTACATGTCACAGATTGGATAATATATCATTAGCGTCCTGAAATAAGATCAAAACAATGTATAAGACCCGCAAAAGAGTATCTCTACTGAACCAAAAACTATTTCCATTACTATAGTCAGTTTGGGTGAAAGAGGTAAAGTCCAGATAGGTACTATTGGAAGAAGGTTAACGGATTAGATCATCACTACCATGACCCATTTACTAAGTTTCTATAAAGGACATCTTCCCAATGATGAATTCAAGTTAACATTGTTTCTGAAGGATTTGATTGCTGAACTAACCCATTTAATCCTGTGTGTATGTTCTATAGTAGGTTGCAGTTTTCAGTAAAGGAACATGTAAAAGTCATCCAAGACAATATATCGGTAAAGGACATGCTGTGGGAATACCACCTTTTCTTGCTCAGAGATTAATTTTAGCCATGCCTGTAAACTCTCCATGGTACATTGTGGGGAAGCACGGGACTTGGTTGAAAAGTCTATAAGGAGGATTCTCCTAAAGATCAGGGGCCTCTTGGGGGACCTTGCTGAAGGTGGTAGCCCCTACCTTGACTTTCCCAAACAAGTCCTATCCCCCCGGGTGTTTTGCTAGAATCTCTATGCTGAGTCTTTAAGACAGTGGTTCTCAACCCTCTGGCCCTTTAAATACAGTTCCTCATGTTGTGACCCAACCATAAAATTATTTTTGTTGCTACTTCATAACTGTAATGTTGCTACTGTTATGAATCATAATGTAAATATCTGATATGCAGGATGGTCTTAGGCGACCCCTGTGAAAGGGTCATTCAACTGCCAAAGGGGTCGTGACCCACAGGTTGAGAACTGCTGCTTTAAGACCTGACCTTGTAGAAGCATGTGCTTTCTCAAGGATATTTACCCTGCTGATTCTATCTAGAGGTTAATTTTAGTTCAAGCTGTTGTTACAATAAAAGCCTAAGGAGGCAGGCAATTGGGGCTGTTTTTGGTTTCTAAAGCCAAATAAGTCCCTTAGCCTCTCTTTCACAAAAAGCTGTGTCAGGATAATCTATTCATCCATTGCTCAGGGTCTGCTGGTCAGCCCTGGCAGTACATGGGTGGCTTATAGTGGTGAAAAGAGCTCAATGCTAGGAGTTGCTACAGATAATCTATACTTGAAAAAGTGACAGCTGCTCTGGTGCCCATCTTCCCCATTTGTAATATGAATGTTAGGCTTCATCAGTGGTTTTCAAATCTTTGGCATGGAACCCTTCCTTGAAGTAAAGTATTGTGAACAAATCTAAAATGCAAACTAGGTGGAGGTGGAACTGCTGTGGTTGAGATGGTAGGGAGCCCATAACCCCATCTACTTCCCCCAAGCTCAGGGCCATGAACAGTTCCTTGGAACTTGTGGAGCCAATCTAACAGCCATTGAAATAGATCATCCCTAAGTGGGTGAGTATTGACATATACTTAAAATATTTGCTCTGCCTATTGTTAAGGTGTCTGGAATTTATTTTAAACTACTTTAGCATAGAGTGTGTGGCATTTTATACAGGGTGTCCCAAAAATGTGTACACACTTTAACAGCTGATAGCTCAATTTTGAAAGTGAAATGTATTTTAATAAATACTGCCTTTATAATTAATCAAAGTAAGTGTATACATTTTGGGGGACACCCTATATATGTGCACTTTGGTTTAAACTGCAACACTAGGAATATCTATTTCTGTAATTGGGAGTTCATCCTTCTGGGGTGGTTAGGTGGTAAAATATCACAAAGACCACATTCCCAGGATTGCTACGTCAAGTACTTCTGTTAGCCATATCTCCACCAACACCTGAGGCCTCTCTGCTTGAAAAAAAATGTGAAAAAACAGGTGGAATAATGGAATGAGCATTAGAAATTGATTTTATTTATGAAATTAGAGGAGGTTAAGATATGGAGATTGGTTAAAATATTTTGGAGATAATCCCCACCCTGCTGAACACAGTGTAAGTATCTGAAGCCTGTAGCTTGTGTCTTCAGAAGCAGAGCTCGAGGACTGATCCCCAAAATAGGCCTCTCTCCAGCCATTGATAATGAGGATTTCCAGTTGGCTGCTGCCAAGTAAGGGCAATAGAATCCCCACCTGGCTCACGTGATCCTTTTATGCAAGGTGTCAGTCCTTAGGAGCACTTAAAGGGACAAGGGCTAAGGCTTCATCCAACTCACAGCCAGACAGTATACATGGTTTTATGCTTGCTTGCTAATAAATGTGTGTTTAACAGATGTCTGTGTTGTGGCAGAGTTGGGTTTGAGACTAGCTTTCATCTTAACCAGGTGGTAAGGTTGTTGGGACAACTACTCCCCCCACACCCATCTACCACAAACTATCTTATTCACCCCCAAACCGCAATATTTAGCCTCGTCATCATAACACCTACATCTTCCAATAAACTTCTGATGTTTGGACTATCTTCATTTTACTGATAAGAAGAAACTGAGCCTCTAAGAGATTAGATTATTTTCTCAAGGTCACGCAAACAGTTCGAGGAAAATCCAGGATTCTAAACAAAAGGGACGGACGGACATTTTACTCTATCAAACCCTTTCCTAAAGAGCTCTTTCACTTGACCAAAGCTCTAGCCACTCTAAAATTCTCTAAACTTGTTCTAAAATTGCAACTTACACTTTGAAAATGGCCTTGGAAAGGGGCACACAAATAGATAATTCAGCATAGTTATCAATGAAAAGGCACATTGAAAAATGAGCCATTAACTCACTAACTTGATACTTTTTCATCTTTAAGGCATCACTTAAGAAACCAAGAACCTAAATGGGTTTTTTGACAGCAAATATTGACAGGATCCAAAGCAGACTAAGAATGTGTCGAGTATTCAATCAATGTACAACTAAAGGGAGTGTCAGAGTGCTTGTAAATGGTTAGAGATGATCTATAATAATAAAAGCATAATATGCTAATTAGATCTGACATCCTTCCAGATGACCTTCTGGACGAAGCTGGGGCTATGAGGGAAGCCAGGGTCCCAGATTCCAGAGAGAAGCCGGTGCCAGCAGCTGCGGGAAGGAAGGCCTACTCTTGCACAAATTTCATGCATCGGGCCTCTAGTTTATTAATATAATTGTAGGGCGATGATATTTGAGGGACAAATTATAGACTAAATTATAGCCATAAGAAAAATTTCTTATAACTTGAATTTGATAGAAATATGTAGACTTGCCGAAACCGGTTTGGCTCAGTGGATAGAGTGTCGGCCTGCGGACTGAGGGGTCCCGGGTTCGATTCCGTTCAAGGGCATGTACCTTGGTTGCGGGCACATCCCCAGTAGGAGATGTGCAGAAGGCGGCTGATCGATGTTTCTCTCTCATCGATGTTTCTAACTCTCTATCTCTCTCCCTTCCTCTCTGTAAAAAATCAATAAAATATATTTTTTAAAAAAAGAAATATGTAGACTTGTAGCTCTCTGTTTTTATTCCACTAGCTAGACAGTTGTGCCATATTCTTGTCTCTTTCACTGACTTCTGTTTGCAAATAAAATACCTTCTCAATGATTCCATTTTTCTGTCTATAAATTAGGTATGATATTTACTACTCAAAATGAGTTTTGCA